TGGCTTTCATGACTAGTTGTTGACTAGTCATAATCATCTTTGATCAAGTTTTAAAGTGTGTGAATCTTGCTGTGTCTGTTTGAATAACATTTAAATTAACCCTTCGTCACCTAAGTACCAATTTCAATCTGAACCTTGATATAGGAAAAGTTAGGCATGTAGAAACAATCAAGTGCCCCATGCTCCCGTTTGGGAAGAAAAGTATCACTATACATCCAGCAGTGTTACAATACATAAAATAATTTTTGACAAATGTCCTATCAAATTAAGTATTTGAAAATAAATTTTTCAATCACAAGCAACAAATGGATGCTACAAGATCCAACACGACATGTATATATAAAAGGTGGGTTTAAGTTTCTGTAAATAAATGAACAATACGATGGTTTACAGATACAATCATCCATCTTGTTCTAGCTGAGAGTATTTTGACTGATATTTTGGCTGGTTTGCATGTATACAAGGATATTGCAAACTTATAACACATGCGTACAAAAATATTATTTTATTGTGTAATGGCAATCTATCGACTCTTCTGGCTATCACTTAACCATAACATGCTTTCGGAGGCCATGGATGTGAGTATTCATAATGTAGTCTTCCCAATCAATGCAATTCGGATCAAAGTTAAATATGTTTGCATCTATGTAACTCTCACTTGCCACCTTTCGCAGCTCCTCCGAATTGGTGTCATCAAAGCTATAATCAAAACACATCAGTTGTTAATGACGGAGCTAGAATTTTTAATAATTGAGGGGCCAAAATCTAAAACTTAACTATAAACGACTTTACCATCTTAAATGAGGCCCATCACTAGTTTAATTGTGAAATAGTATCATTTTTTTATATAGAAAGGGTTATAAAAGGGGTGAGGGCAAAGTTCAATTTAGACTTGACTTTGGCTCCGTCCTTCATGTAATTAAAATTAAATGATAAAACTCTATCTCTAATTATAGAAGTAAAGTATACGTACATGCCCTTGAATAACATATACGGTTTGTATAGCTCTACGAAGCGCATCACCAATTTGAGTTTTCGGCTATAGTTAACGTATGCATCT